ACATTCAATTTCATCCCAATGGAGGTTAAGGACCCACATTTACAACATCTCAGGCTTCTTCTGGCTGCTAAATTGGTTTATCATGTTCTGTAATACTTAGATGTTTTAATTCTTTATTGTTCCTAGAGAGTTGAGTACTCTTTAATGAACTCATAGTTCATTAGGGAAAATGGCCTAAGGTCAGGGGTTTTAAAAATAGTAGCAGAGTATACAGAACCAGGCCTGCACTTTTGATCTTTCCAGATGACATAATTAAGGGAGAATCTTAGGGCAAAGGCAGCTGTCAGCAGCTACAGGAGACAAAATCATCCCCACCCTCTACAACCAAACTTGAGCCTCAAGCAGTTCTGAGGAGCTGCTACTCCTACCAAACTAGGTGTGTGGCTTGGCCAGCATTTTATGCTGTCCCCTCCGCGTGCTTCTGTTTAGACAGAGGACAGCTCCAGTTGGTGCTGATGGCTTCTGTATGCATCTGTAGTGCAAGTCACCTGTGGGACTTTGCTGTCTGTGAACCCCTGGCCCCAGGGGAACCCCATGGAGGTAACAGGAGGGCAAGTCATCAGGAGCCCCAGTCCTGACCTGACTCTGAGGGCCACCCAACTTTGCATCCTCCAGCCATTTATGTGACTTCCCCTTTCCTGGCTCAAATGTCCCCATGTGTGAAATAAAGGTTTGACAGGGAGATGGGGGATGGGGACCTGAGGCCCTGTGACACATTTCATGGGGAAAGAAGAGTCCACAGTCAAAAGATAAACTTTGAAAACACCAGCGTAGATCTCTGGATCTCGTTTTAGCTCTCAATCCAGCAGTTCAGGCAGATCAGGTACAAACCTTTTGCAGCCACCAACTCAGACTGGGCCTCTTTTCTTGTCATGAATCAAGCCATTTGACTTCTGTTTATTGACAATACTGCCTGCTAGAGAGGACTGGTAATTCCCTAGGCCTAAAAAGCAGGGGCTTCCAGGAAGAATCTTCAAAATGACCTGAGAGGCAGAAAAAGCAGGTCTGTTCCGTTTGGTCCCTTGATAAGTAAGTGATGAAACTGCAGTTCAGTCTGTAATGACCATTCTTTCATTAAACACTGGCTGAAGTCTCCGTGGGCAGAGAGCTGTGCATGGAACTTTAGAGCAGTCAGAAATTATGTCTTCAAGGATTATAGAGTCCAAGCAGAAATATAAAAAATGGGCATGAGAGGAATCATGATAAAGGCTCTGTACCCTGAGAAACAGAGAGAAGGCTTTATGGGAAATGGCACATGTTTAGAGAGAGCCGGGAAAGAGAGATCAGGACACAGTTTAATTGGAAGAGATTATTTCATGCAGTCTTAAAGGAAAAATTGGGTTCAGGCCTAGAATGAAAAACATTCCATGCAGAGAAACTTATGCTGGCATAGAGGCAGGAAAATGGAAAACATGTATGAGGAACAATGAATAGTTTAGTTTGGCTGAAACCAAAGTTTGGCAAGAAGAGTGGTTAGAAATGTCCATTGGGTTGGGTGTCTTACATAAATACTGTCTTTGTCCATTTTAGTCTTTCCAAGGTTGTATCACCTGATTCCAGATGGTGAAATTACCAGCATCAAGATCAATCGAGTGGATCCAAATGAAAGCCTCTCCATTAGGCTTGTGGGAGGCAGCGAAACCCCTCTGGTCCATATCATCATCCAACACATTTATCGTGATGGGGTGATTGCCAGAGACGGCAGGCTACTGCCAGGAGACATCATCCTAAAGGTAGAGACCATGGCTGTGGGACCATGAAAAGGGGCTTGATAAAAATAATTTCCAAGCAAATAACTGGATGGATGGATGGATAGAATTCTGAAGTATATATGGAGCGGTCATTTTCCTTAGTTACTATGTTGATATGAATCTTCAGGTGTGATTCGTACTTTGAGATGGGTCCCTGTCCCCCTCTGCCTTTCGTGTTCTTGTATCCTCCCTCTCCCTCTCTATATGACCTGCTTCTCTGCCTATGTACCATTTTGTCTCTTTTCCCCTCCTCTTCCTTCTCCCATCCTCCCCCTTTTCCTTTCTCTGCCTCCTCTTTCTTCTTCTCTCCTTTCTATCCCTTCTTCCTACTTTAAGTAACAGTATCATAAAATAATATAAAACTGAAGCATGTATCTTCTTAAAATGTTTTTAGAGCAGACTAATGGAACAGTTTGTATTCTGTCTAATCCACATTCACACGCCCCTCTAAAGTAAATTTCCTGTAGCTTAATGGCCCACCATGAAATAAAGTAATGCCTGACCTAGTCCTGCAAAGCCCACAGACACTCCAGGGGAGACAGGTGGGGGAACAGGAGGGTACAGCCTTGCACATTGCTGTCCTCTGAGCTTGGTAGAGGCAAGGGACAGTAGGGGAGAATTTTCAGAAGAAGAGAAAAGATAAAGGGGGAATTAGGGGCAGAAGTCAAATGAGCCAAAAGTGACAAGAAATCTCTCCCTGGTCCTATATTTCCTGTCTGATACTCAAATGACAGTTTCATCCCTTCCCCCTGCTGAAGGGCCAGGATGAAACATGAACTGTTTCTTTGGCAAAGAAATTCTTGTTCTTTGGAATAAGAGGAGAAGGAATTTAAAGCAGTCCTCACATGAATGCTGGGATTCCCACTGGCCTCTGGGGTGGAGTGCAAGGCAGCGCTCACCAGCCTCAAGGGACAGTGAGCAGTGGGCTCAGCGGCACCCTGCATGGCTTCCTCCCAGTTCTCAGGGACACTCTGCCACCTGGGAGGGTTGTGTAAGAAAACATTTGGATTCTTACGGCCTTCCACTAGCACTTGCAGCAAAAGGGCTGCCAGGACTGTTCACTACGATGTGTTTAGATTGTGTTTAGCATGGGTGTGTTGGGGGAAAGCAGACACAGGATAAGTGACAGAGCAGCACAAGGTCTTTAAGCTCACCTGGGCTTGGACAAAGGTGGTGAGAGTTGTCTGTGCACAGGGGAGCCTCCATCCATCGCTGGAGATGCTGCAGAAAAGTGCCGATTGCACACTGCAGGAAGGCTATTTAAAGTCTCATTCTAAGACTCCTCTAACAGTTGGCTGCAAGTGCAAGAAATCCTAAACCATAGAGATCCAAGGAGGTTGTTTCTCTTCTGTGGGCCTCCCTCCTTAAGCACAGAGGGCAGTGCCGCTGAGAAACTGTTTTCCCAGTGATTACACTCGGGGCTGTAGCCTCCAGGCCAGGCCCACTTAACCAGGATAATTAAAACCAGAAAGTCCCATGCGGTATCAGCCCGCAGATAATTAATGAGGCACAAGCTGGAGGAGCGCGCTTTAGGACATTCAAGTAACATAATAAAGTGATCCAGCCTTTCAGTAAAAGAGCCTAGAAACTTCCATTCATGGCAGTTTGTTTGAAACTCTGAAGATATTTTTCCTTTCATTGAGAACATCAGCAAAAGTCCTTGTAGGTGACACGACCACCTTTGAAACCTGACTCTGTCTTGCACACACACACACACACTCACACACACTCACACACAGTAGGTGGGCCTGAGATTTCCAGTATGGGTGACCCACAGAGAAAAAAATTATTTGGAGATTTTGGGAATGAAAATGTCAATGCAGTTTCATTTGAACATCAGTTTAATGTAATCACTTAAGCCCAGTGGGAAATTTCCTTTTCTTCTTCTGCCTATTCCTAATTTTTCTTCCTCCTCACCTCCAATTAAAACTGAGGGTTAGGACTGTATCAGTAAATCTGGGGACCTCTGTAAGGACAAGGTTGAAGAAGGATGATGTCTCCTGAGAAAGACCTGAATGGGTGACACAGGTGGCTGTCAAGGAGAGCAGTATTATGGGTAATGTTGGGAAATGGGCATGTTTGGACATTTGGACAGAGGATAAGGAGGCAGAGCAAAGCAGTCTTTAAGGAAGGGTCCTGGTGTGAGTCTGTGGGCCAGGGCCTTTAGGAAGGAGCTGAAGTGGCAGGTGGAGCTGAAGCTGACTGGTAGACTCCAGATTCTGAGGCACCTTCCCTGCAGGTCAATGGGATGGACATCAGCAACGTGCCTCACAACTACGCCCTGCGCCTCCTGCAGCAGCCCAGCCAGGTGCTGCGGCTGACGGTGCTGAGAGAACAGAAGTTCCAGAGCAGGAACAGTGGGCAACCACTAGATGCCTACGGACCCCAGGGTGACAGTTTCCATGTGATTCTCAACAAAAGCAGCCCTGAGGAGCAGCTTGGAATAAAGCTGGTGCGCAAGGTGGACGAGCCTGGAGTATTCATTTTCAGTGTGTTGGATGGTGGCGTGGCAGACCGACATGGCCAGCTGGAGGAGAATGACCGTGTGTTAGCCGTCAATGGACATGACCTTCGGTACAGCAGCCCAGAAAGCGCCGCTCATCTGATTCAGGTGGGTTACAGCTCACCCTAGGTCTTGTCAGAACCTACCAGCATTAACGGGAGTGCTTACTACCCAACCCACCCACCCTGTTACTACCATTTGTGACATACAGTGCCTCCCTTTTGAGAAGTCAAGATGGAGAGACTAGGTAAGAACATTATACAAGCAAATGATGTGTCTCAGGGTCGTGGACATACCCTGGGGGTCACCTGCCATCCAGGCTCACTGCCCATAAACACCTTGGCTTATGTGCTACAAGCTGACCAGGTTAAGATCACTTAAGGTTATTAGGAAGTTGATGTCATCCCTGTCGCCAGTATGTTAGTCACAGACCCAGGGGTCGTTCAGCTATGTTCTGGACACATCCATGACATCCAGTTATACTAAGTCCCTTAAGAAGCTATGTCATGTGTCTTCCAGGGATCCTGTGAACAGAAACCACTGCGGGCATGGCTATGCCAGCCTCCTTGGAAGGCCCCTGGGAACTCAAGTTTGAACCTAGAGCAAGTCCCCAAATAAGAGAAGCATATAAATTATTGATCACTCAGACAAATAGACTTCCTAATAACCTGACATTGGTTCAAATTAATTCACTTTCCTGGCTGGTATATGACATCATTAAGCCCTAGCATTCATTTTGTTGACGTTGACTGGGTCACCATGTTTTTCTAATGTTTATTGAGCTGCCAGCTTTATTGCTAGAGGAACAGGCTTTGTACTGGGCTCTTGAAGTCTAACTCATTAATTTACTTCATTTGCCAAAATGTATTGTTTCTGCTGCTTGCCTACTGCTGTGTTAAAGGCAGAGAACAGAAAGATAGAAACTTCAAGCTGCTGTTCCTAAGGAGCCCCAGTCTAGATGGAGTTTTTCTAAATGATTGCTGCATAGTATGATAATCTTGTAATGGAGAGATTAAGTACAGTGCTGGCTTAGACGAAGGAGAGATTTTTGCTTGAATAGGCCTAGGAATTCTTCATAGAGGAGGGATACCTTGAACTGGGGCTTTGAAGGATTGGCAAAAGTTCTCTAGGTGGACAAGGCAGGAAGGGCCAGTCTAAGGAGATACAACCCAAAAGATCAAATGATGTGTCTCAGGGTCGTGGACATACCCTGGGGGTCACCTGCCATCCAGGCTCACTGCCCATAAACACCTTGGCTTATGTGCTACAAGCTGACCAGGTTAAGATCACTTAAGGTTATTAGGAAGTTGATGTCATCCCTGTCGCCAGTATGTTAGTCACAGACCCAGGGGTCGTTCAGCTATGTTCTGGACACATCCATGACATCCAGTTATACTAAGTCCCTTAAGAAGCTATGTCATGTGTCTTCCAGGGATCCTGTGAACAGAAACCACTGCGGGCATGGCTATGCCAGCCTCCTTGGAAGGCCCCTGGGAACTCAAGTTTGAACCTAGAGCAAGTCCCCAAATAAGAGAAGCATATAAATTATTGATCACTCAGACAAATAGACTTCCTAATAACCTGACATTGGTTCAAATTAATTCACTTTCCTGGCTGGTATATGACATGATTAAGCCCTAGCATTCATTTTGTTGACGTTGACTGGGTCACCATGTTTTTCTAATGTTTATTGAGCTGCCAGCTTTATTGCTAGAGGAACAGGCTTTGTACTGGGCTCTTGAAGTCTAACTCATTAATTTACTTCATTTGCCAAAATGTATTGTTTCTGCTGCTTGCCTACTGCTGTGTTAAAGGCAGAGAACAGAAAGATAGAAACTTCAAGCTGCTGTTCCTAAGGAGCCCCAGTCTAGATGGAGTTTTTCTAAATGATTGCTGCATAGTATGATAATCTTGTAATGGAGAGATTAAGTACAGTGCTGGCTTAGACGAAGGAGAGATTTTTGCTTGAATAGGCCTAGGAATTCTTCATAGAGGAGGGATACCTTGAACTGGGGCTTTGAAGGATTGGCAAAAGTTCTCTAGGTGGACAAGGCAGGAAGGGCCAGTCTAAGGAGATACAACCCAAAAGAACAGTTCTCCAAAACCAGTTAGGGAAATGGTTAATACCTGGAGCACTATGTCCATTAAAAAAGCAGCAATAGATAAGCAGTGGTAGGTAAGGGCCAGATCATGTAGAGCTTTTTTGAGTCATGCTAAGGAGCTCAGACTTTACCCCTAAGGCATGGGGTGTACTTGGAAGGGTTTAAGAAAGAAAAGACATGATTTTCTAGAAATAACCTCTAGAAGTAGTGGAGAGGTATAGGAGAGGGGCTAGATTAGAGGACTTAAGAAAAATTTGCAATTATCTGGCACATCATGTCAGCTTCTACTTAGTGACTGATGTATTACTTCAAGAATAGAGTCAGCAGCAGTATTTGACTGAACCATAAACCAGGTTTCATGCAGGGTGACAGAAGACAGAGCCTGCCCTCAAGAACTTGATCATCTAAGGACAAATGAGTCTCCCTACTCTTGGGTTCCAGTTATTGGAGTACTTCGGGTGTCGACAACTTCTCACTATCGTGTGTGTAGTGTCTTATCCCTCTTCTTTGAGGAGAACCAAGTAGGGGATGATGATATTGTTACTCTAGATATGGACAGCCTGAGGTAGAGGATGCAAGGGGACTTACCCTGCTTCTCCTGTCCACCAGGATGGGTACCTTGGTTCCTGAGCTTGTTTCTTGGTGGTGTCCCAACTCCAAGATAATTTTCAACCATGAAGGATGTTTATCTACACAACAGGGCTTGACAACATGCCCTGTGGAGCAAGTAGAGAACAAAACCAGAGTTACACAGATATTTCCCTTCTGGAGTTTATGCCCTCTATTCCCAAATTCCTATGTCCAGTCCCAGCTTCTCCTGGGACACCACACTCACAGAACCAACTGCCTACTTGGCATCTCCATGTGGATGTCTACAAAGCATCTCAAACTTAATGTCTAAAACCAAACCGTTAGCTTTTCCCCACTCTCCCTTGCCAAACTTGCTCTTCCCTCAATCTTTTCCAGTCTCTAAAAAAATGGCACCATTTACCCAATTATTTGGGCCAAAAGGAATCTTTACTCTCTTTCAGTATTCCCCCACCCAGTCCCTTTCTCACCACCTCCATGGCTTCCACCAGCCAGGCTACGATCAGCTTGGGAATGGGCCACGGCAGGAGCCTCGTGTCTGGACTCCTTGCTTCCTCACCCCTTCTCTGCCTCTGCTCCCTACATGGCAGTTAGAATGAGCACTTTACAGAGTCAATCCCATCATGTTACTCTCTCACACTCAGTCCTCTGATGCCTCCCAAGACTCTTAGATTAAAAATTCCAAATCTTAACAGTGGCCTGCAAAGCCATACATAATCTGGCCTGAGGTTATTTCACCAACTTGATCGCTTAAGCAAAGAGAATTTCTAGAATTCTCTCCCTTGCTTAACCATGCTCTGTCACATTGTCTTCTTGTTGCTCCTCAAACATCTCAAGAACTTTTTACCTCAAGGCTGATGTTCTTGCTGTCTCTCTGACTAGAAGTTTTCCAAATATCTGTATAACTCCATCCCACACTTCATTTAAGCCTCTCCTCAAATGTCACCTCCTCAGAGAGACCTTCACTGACAATCTCAAATTGCATCTTCCATTCCCAGCTCTTATCTTCTAGTCTGCCTTATTTTCTATCAACAAATCATTTTATTATTACCTGTCAGTCTAGTTTAGTACTGTACAGTATTGTATCTCAAGCACTTAGGGAAATGCTTGGCAATAAGACACTCAGTTTTTATTGAATGAATAAATTGAGTCAAATTACAAAAATATAAATATATATAATTTATATATTAATTCCATCTGACAGGGATTTTTTTATCAAACCATTTACCAAAGAACAAGCACCAAATCTACTTTAACATGTTATTTGTCCCCAAGATAGAATCTCTTTTTGTCCCCTTGAATTTGTGCAGTAATCGTTGGTCAAGCACTTTCTATGTGCCAAGAGGTGTGTGGCACAATGGTCCACAGACTGATGAAGTTCATGGCCTCATGGAATTTGGAATATACTCCAGTCCCTGATCTCAAATACAAACAATTCAGCATTAAGTCAGTGACTCTAGCCTATGTCAGTGGGAACAAACAGAAAACAGATAATGTTTATGAAAACATTAACCCATGAAAAAGAAAGAGTCCAGTTTTTTTTCTTGATAAAGAAACTTCACTTTAAGCATGGTTTTTTTTCCTCTTTAGAAGCTAGACTTTTAGATGATCATTACTCTTTGGGTGCTGTGCTTATTAACTCCCTCTGCAGGTCAAACAGTGTAAGTCACATTCTAGAGGATCTGCCAACTGTACTTTGCAATAGGCAAAAGAAAAACTCCTTACTCATGTCATTTGGAAAAATTTTGATTACATACGGCATTCTAGTTTTATAGATTAATAACAGAAGAGGAAAAAAATTTTTTCCTGAGAGAGATCATTTATGAAGTAAAATCTTTCCTAACAGCGGAACTTTCTAAAAGATTCTTCTGCTTACTAAACAGCCAATGTGCTTTATAAGCAGGGGAAAAATGGGGGGGAAGGGGGTAAGGCTTGGGGAAAACTAGTTGGAAAAGAAATGGAAAAAGTAGAATGCTGGGAAAACCCAGTTAAGCAATCTTGAGAGTGGATTTTATTTCTGTGATACATGTAACACATACCAGGCTGTGGGAGTTAAACTAAATAGCCTTCAAAGATTCAGATTCAAATTTCTAGCCCATCTGTGGCCACTCTACTGCTGTGTGTCTGCTCATGAATCACATTTGCTTTACAAAGAAGTTCCCAGACAACATGTCCTTTTGGTCATGTTTTCTCCCACAGAACCACACATCCTTCTGCCTTTTTCTACATTATTTCAGGGAAAAGTTATTACAGAGAAGCCACAAGTGTTTTAAATTTGACCAACTTTACATATGTAGAGCCTGACCTTCAGCTTAGTCAGCAGCCCTGGGTGCCAAACCCCACAGGTAGCTGGAGAGCCAGTCTCCTTGACAAGGAGAAACCCTGAGGAGACAGAAGCTTCAAACGCAGGACAGTTGA